CGTAGTCGAGTGACGTGTAGTCGTAGTCGTAGTCGTAGGTCGTACGTGGTCGTGGTAGTCGTCGTGCGGTCTGGCGTGTGCGGTATTTCTGTGAGTGTGTCACTGTGTGTGCGAGTGCGTGCGCGTGTGCGTGTGAGTGTGTCACTGTGTGTGCGTGTGCGTGTGCGTGTGAGTGTCACTGTGTGCGTGTGCGTGTGCGTGTGCGTGTGCGTGTGCGTGTGCGTGTGCGTGTGTGCGTGCGCATGTGTAATCTTGGACTTTGTTTTTGTTTCACGAGACCTTGGGTAATTTTATTCAACTAATGCAAAGCAAACAAATAAGAATAGCTTAAAATATTTTATATTTGCAGTGCATATGTATCTTATCAGGAGTTAATAAAGACAAATTTGTCTTTATTAACTCCTGATCTTATGTAATGTCATAATTATAGCTACAGAAAGGCTAAAAAATCTATATACTCGTAAGGCCACCATTTCTTTTTTTGTTGGTTTACAGAATTTTTGTTGTTGTTGTTGACTCGGTAGGATAAAAAAAAAATTATTAAGTAAATTAAAAAGGTATTAAAGTATTTTAAGAAAAATAAATAAAAACAAAACTCAACTTGTAATTATTTTTACTTTTATTATAAACTATTTGTTTATGAAATGTTTTTATTTTTACATTTGAATTTTTGTAATTCATATTTTGTAGAAAAAAGGTCGGCGGGTTTTTTTTTTTTTCGTTTTTCTTGAAAATTCGGGTCGGCGGATCTGTAAACCAACAAAATAAAAAATTCTCGCCCAAGGCATATTAGAAGAAGTTTCATGAAAAAAACATTAAAACTTCCAAACCAAGTGACGGATAATTCGTATCGTTATGCAGTAATCCTATAGGCGCCAGTGACTCGATCGTGTTGTTTTCACCGGCGTTCTGCTGGTGGTCACGTGACTACTGATCTGTGATGTAGCTCCGCCCGCACCTATAGTCTTCTAACCCTAGCAAGACCGTTGCGTATATTGACGTTAGTCACACAGCCTGGTCGGGCTACTACTAGTACTAGTAGTAGTACTACTAGTATTACTAGTACTACTACTATTACTGTACTACTCGGAGTCGATCATCTTGGCTCGTCAGATTGTCACCCTGAACAACATACCAAAGGCTGACTACCTGGCTTTACCCAAGCTAGGTCACACCCCATGTCTAGCTATAGCGTTCCCTATAGATACAATAATGTAACCCAAACACAGGATAGGAACCCTATCCTGTGTTTGGGTTACATTATTGTATCTACGTTCCCTAGTATAGCTATCCCTGCGTTATTAACCACGTAACCGTGGGCTACGCAGAAAACTATCCAGATCCAGATCCAGAACATTCCTGAACAACATCCCAGTTCCTACACCCACATTGACGAAAATGACATAGGTGACAATCTGGCCATGCTCTCCATCCTTGAACCATCTTACTATTACTATGATTTTTATGATTGTAAATAAGTACCTTGACTTTTGCCATGATTAAGTTAGTTATCCGCTTATCGAACGCTGTGACATGAACATGATCCATGATTGCTTTCGACATGGTACGCCATCTCTAAGCATCTTCAAAGGATTCTTAATTTCTCATTAGCTTCGTTTCTGTCATTCCATATTAGAATTCTCTCCTTCCTCTAGTCTTGAGTTAATTGTAAAAGTGAAGCTTTTTCTACTGATCCTGAGAGCACTGGTAAATACGAGGTCCTGTTCATATCTTGATATTGTTTTTGTTGGGTAGTTATAAAACAGCATTCACTAACACACAGGCAGAAAATTTCATTGCTATACCCTTGTGTTTTTCTCCAGCAATTTCCAAAAGGAAAATGGGACCAGAGGAGAAAATACAGGAGTTAATATCAGAAAGCATTTTCCTGGAAGCCAGACTAAAAGAAGCAGCAAATCCAAATGAGGTAGATAAATTAGTTTATGATCACATTGAAAAATATGAAAAATATTTTGTTGCGCCTGACTTTGTTGAAGGACTACATTGGTTAAATACTTCGAAGCCACTTTCCATACATGGGGATTTGCATGGTAAGGTCACTGTTTTGGACTTTTGGACCTACTGTTGCATCAACTGCATGCACATTCTCCCAGACCTACATCAGTTAGAGAGTCATCATTCGATCCAAGATGGTCTTGTCATCATCGGGGTTCATTCAGCAAAGTTTGATAACGAGAAGCACGCTGACAACATCGCGAGTGCCGTCGTCCGCTACGGAATTTCTCACGCCGTCGTGAACGATCCGGAATTGACCATGTGGAACGCGCTGCACGTCTGCGCGTGGCCGACCGTCGCGATTCTCGGACCGGACGGGCAGCTGCTGCTCGTGATGATGGGAGAGGGTCACGCACAGACGATGCTTCACTTCACGGGGGCGACGCTCTCATACTTCCGCCGACGCGGCCGCATCTCCAGCCACGACATCGACTCGAAGCTCTTGCGAGATAGTCTATTCGAGGCGGAGTTGCTCTTTCCGGGGAAGGTGGCCGTCGATTCTAGCGGGGCGCGTCTGGCGATCTCGGACACCGGACACAACCGTGTCGTCGTTGTCGACAGGAAGGGTGTCGTCGTTCACTGCGTCGGCGGGAGAAAATCGGGATTCAGAGACGGGAGTTCTGCCGAAGCGAGACTGAATGCGCCGCAGGGTCTGTGCTGGTCGGACGACTGCCTTTACGTGGCCGACACTGAGAATCACGCCGTACGACACATCGACCTGCGAGCCGGCGCGGTGACAACCGTAGCGGGAACCGGGCAGATGGGGCACGACAGGGAGGGCGGGAAGCAGGGACGTGAGCAGCCGATCAGCTCGCCCTGGGATGTTTGCCTCGGGTGTTCCCCCGGAGCCGACGCTAGGAACGTGCTGTTCATTGCTGCGGCGGGAACCCATCAGATCTGGGCGCTATTCCTGACTGACGCCACCTGGTGGAAGAATAGGGCCGTGCTGTCTGGTACGTGCGTGGCGATTGCCGGGAGCGGAGCCGAAGAGAATCGGAACAACAGCTATGCGCACAGGGCCGGCTTCGCTCAGCCATCTGGACTCTCGCTCGACGAAGACGGTAGCTCGCTCTATATCGCAGACAGCGAGAGCTCGAGCATCCGGCGGCTGTCTTTGCTAGATGGCGCCGTGTCGGGCGTCGTCGGAGGCGCAAAGAACCCTCGCAATCTGTTTGCGTTTGGAGATGTGGACGGCGTCGGCATGGACGCGAAGCTCCAGCATGCACTCGGGGTCGCCTTGAACCCCGTCAATGGGAACGTCTACGTCGCCGACTCGTACAATCACAAGATAAAGTTCATAGATCTCGCGACGCGGCGCTGCAGCATGCTGTGTGGGGCGGGTACGCCGGGCAACAGCACCGGCACCTACGCGGAGACATCGTTCAGCGAACCGGGGGGCCTCGCTAGCGCCCCCTGCGGTGAGCTGCTGTACGTCGCCGACACAAACAACAATTGCGTAAAGCTCGTCAACCTGAGAGAGAAAACCGTGCGGCAGTTCAACGTCACGAGCGCTGCTAGCGTAGCTGTCAAAGAGGTTACCTCTGCTCTCAGTTCTGCTAGTGTAACCACGTCAGAGGCTGCTTCAGCTTCATCGGGAGACAGTGGCACCATGACAGCTGCCGTGGACGAACAAGTGAGCATCAGTATGTCACCCAATTCCAGACTCACGGTTCACATTCGATTGGATGCTCCCACGGGCAGTGCAGTTGCCCTCACAGAGGGCGCTCCCAGTCGATGGAAGGTCACCCTGCCAGACGATGCGACCGTCGTCGTGGGAGACCAGAGCCAGTTGCACGGCAACTTGCGCAGTGTCGAGGCGATGCCCCGCATCGCTCTCACGGTGGCTCCGTGTGCTGAGGAGAGCACGTTCATAGACGTAGAGTGCACAGCGTATGTGTGCAGCGGCTCCCTGTGTTCAGTGAAGTCAAGGTCATGGCACATCGCTGTGAAGGTCGACCCCGGTAGCGGTGTATGCGAAAAAGACGTTCGTTTAGTTCTTCGCCTGTGAAACCCTAGCATTGATCTTACATTCTACACTGTATGCCGGCTGTGATACAAACTGGTCTCACATTGTGTACTACTACTGTAGGACCGAGTGACGTAATATTATGTGTCACTTGATGTGGCATCCAGAGTTTTGTTTAAATCAGGGAATAGCTAGTGCATTTAGTGATGCTTGTTTTATAATTGAAAAAGTAAAAATATTATGCCTTACTAGTTACTAGTGTTAAACTACATATATTAACAAGAATGTCGTAATTTAAAACACATTATATTTTCAAATGTATTTCACTATAGTTTATAGAAATAAAGATAAATGCTTATATCTAATAACCTAGTTATTGTTTTATCATGTGTATCTTAACTACTAAAGAAGATAGAATGTTATGAAATTCAAATATTTGAAATATAATTGCTCTCCATCTTAAAATTCACATTCATTCAGTATTTCATGTGTTGTCATGTCATGTTGTGAACAAACAACAATTCATTCCTACATCCAAGCATTAGAATTTACATCAACCCAATCAAAAGCTAGAATCAAGGAAAATTATTAAGAAAATATCAAAAGCTAATAGAACCTATATCGTTGTATGGATGCAGCATTGACGACATTAATGTCGTTATGTTCTTGTTAGGCGTTAAAGTAGGTTATAGATGGTCAGCACAGTACATGGGTGTCACGTAGGACTGACAGGCATTCATCGACAATGACAGGTAAATATAGGCGTACTTGTTAATACATTGTACACGTAAATGTGCACAATTGCATGGTATGAAGTGATGCAGACAAATTTACTATTGTAGCACAATTTGTATGTCCTAAATTAGCACAAAATTAGTTATACTAGCGACATTAGCGTACTTGCTATAAAGAAAAATTTGCCTAAAAGTTCGAAGCACAAGTTCGAACCTACTGCCGTTGGAACTGCCGCCGTGTACTGATGTTTACCTGCTTGTTCACGCAACATTCAGAGACACTTCATTCTCTGTTTGCGGAGAGCGTCGCCAATTTCCGCGACCACACGGCTGTGGTCTACGATGATAACAGCCATGTCACAACTCTGACGTATGGAGAACTGCAACAGTTGGCTGAGATAGTGAGCACACGTCTGCAACAGGCGCAAACACAAGGTCAGTTTATTGGAGTGTCATTGCCGCTGTGCACACAGCTTCCTGGAGTCATCTTAGGGTAAGTGTTTGCATTAACCAGCATGGTCTTTCCACTGTTTGTCTATTACTGTTGCGGTGCTCCTTACATTATGTTTTTTAATAGTTGAGTATTGTTGATGTATTGCTTTCAGCAGCTGTAATTTCTTGTTCTTACATTACTGTCACAGTGTGCTTTCGGCATCGTATGGCTTCGTTTACATTGACGCGAACAGTCCGAGTAGGCACCTAACACACCTTGTGCAGGAGCTGCATCTCCAGTTCCTCATTGTGGATGAATTGTCATGTTCGGTATGTCTAGGTTTATGTTACTGATATAGGTATTACTTAGGTATAAGTATTATCAGGAGTAGATAATAGGGAATTCCTTATTATCTACTCCTGGTATTATTTAGGTATGGTGTAATCCAAGATATATGTCATGGTCGAATGTAGTGTGAAATAAGTAACTTCATGCAAACGTTCATTGATGAATAATCATAACTAACATGACTTTCGTCTTCAGTCTCTACTGGAGAAGTTATCTAGGCATGGCTGCAGTGTGAATCAGAATCTCATACAATATGGAGAGACCTCTCTAGTTCTGGTTGAGCTTTCGTCGACCGTAAGCTCAAACCAGGTGAACAGTGGTTGCCTGGCGTATGCAATAACGACGTCTGGCACCACCGGAAGCCCAAAGATTGTGTTTGTTCCACACTCCTGCATTGTGCCTAACATCTTGGACCTCAGGTAAAAATGCATGAAGTTTTTAAAATTTTAGGTTGTTACACTAATGTAAATGGTGTTTGTAGGCTATTAAAATATGTAGCAGAGCCCTTTATGTTGCATGTACGCAAAGTGACATGCTACATGTTGGCATGCTCTTACTGTGAATGCCTAACCATATAATGGAGATCGTAACTTGTAAACTGCCCACTCTATCTCCAAATCATTGCTCTTGAGAATAAAAGAAGGTGCAATCAATGCCAGTGGGTGTGGTGTATGAGCCCCACTTTATTCGCAGTTGTTCCCTTGAATAAGCATTTAATACCAGTCTGGTTTGTCGACACCTGTAGAAATTTTTACATTTTGTAGAAATGGGTTTAGAGCACCCGTGTAAACTTAAGACAGTCACCCACTTGAAAGCCTGTAGTTTTACTGGGTGAAACCTGTTACAGAAACCAATGCAACACAGTTGCAGAGGCCCTATGCTCCACATGAGGAGCCACAAAAAGACAGTCAATGTAAAATATGTTTCATAAACAAATGACGAAACTTGTTCCTATGTTTACCTTGTAATTTCTAGTAATGTAAAATTTTCCAGGTCGAGGTTCAGAATCACCGCTGACGATTTAGTACTCGTGGCATCACCTTTAACTTTCGACCCAAGCATTGTAGAGCTGTTCACTGCACTAGGTAGTGGAGCAAGTGTGTTGATGGTGCCTCCCTTTGTAAAGCAATCTCCCACGTTGTTGATGGACATGATCACAGTCAGGCACACTGTGACAGTTATTCAGGTATTACTGAGTATGTGGCAGAAGGGGTGGGTGAAAAATTGCGTGATGAGTGCCTCGAGTAATCTGCAGCAGAAAAGAGTTTGACAGAAGTAATTATGCACTGCGTTTATTTTCCTGCAATTTCACATGGAGAAAACTATATATTGTAGTATCTAAAAGCAGATGTTTTTTTAAACATGTTTCTGTATTGCAAAAGGACATGATCGTTACACGGAATGCATATTTAGGCAACACCTACATTGATAAGGAGGTTTGCTGATGTGCTACTGAGGTCATCACTTCTCAGTAAGCATTCGAAGATAAGGATCTTGGCCTTGGGTGGAGAACAGTGCCCACATCTTGGTAAGTTAGCATATCTGTCATTAATTATTGAGTTAATTAATTTAACATTTAAGGGTCACAACAATTATGTTAAACAGTGTTTGGCAAAAGATTAAAACTCATAGCCAGTTACGTTTTCTATGTCGGATATAGTCCAGCTTTGTATCCATTTTTACAGGCGAGTTGAGAACATGGAGGGAGGCAGGAAATGAGTGTGAACTGTACAACATTTATGGAATCACAGAAGTCTCTTGCTGGACCTCAATTCAAAGAATACCTCATGAGGTTTTAGACAGCAGGTATGTTTTCTTCTGTGATAGATGTGTTTTTATTATCAGCTTTCTGCAGAGTAGAATATGGCCCAATATGACAAATGCACATTTTTGCTCTGTTCCTTGCAGTACCGATGGACAGGTTCCTTTAGGACAGGCAATGCTTGCAACAGAACTAGAAGTAAGAGATGAGGCAGGACAGGCAGTCACTGAAGGCCCAGGGCAGTTATATGTTGGTGTGTATCAGATCTAGATTTCATTCACGATTCCGGATCTTGGGAAAAATGCAAACCTGCATCATTTTCCTTTAACCTTTAAACAGGGATGTTTGGCATCTAAATGCAACCTGAACATGTAGTTATTGAAAATAACATAGTTTATAATAAATAGTAATGCTAATAATAATAATAAGAGAAATACACTGATTGTGTTTATTAATTTATTTTATTTACACACACAGTTGTATATGTGAGTTCACTTTGGCATTTAAAATAGCGTTTTAGATGTTATAACTGGTATTACATTCACTACATGTTTGCCCATTCAGAATCTATCATCTAAGGTAAATTTTCTTTCAGGTGGAAAGGACAGGGTTTGCGTTATAGATAACAGCGTTAATGGGTCGTGCCTGAGAGCCACTGGTGACTGGGTAACCGTAGCAGTCGATGGAGCGATCTACTTTGCAGGGAGACGAGACAACCAGGTGAAAAGACATGGAAAGAGGATAAACATCACTTCACTGGAAATAGTATGTTTTCATATGATGATGTATATTTTTCACTAGCACATGTTCAAATGAATGAGTGTGATTTTTTACTCTACTTTGAAATGCACATGCATATATATGTATAATCACAACCCATGTATAACAGTTTACAGGAGCATTTGACAATATGTCCCATTCGACATGGTTGTGTATCCATTTTAGGACACATTTACATTCATAGTTATGTCCTATAAATATGCACAACATGATCACGTGATTAGCAAAAATAGCTAAATTATGGCGACGCAAAGATTTCGAATCTCTGTTAAAAAAATTAACATTTTGAAACCTAAAAGGCTACGGTAATTATTCTGCTAAAATACAGTTGCACTTGCAGGACCGATACTGTAGCTGCGTGGTTTTATCGCTGTGTTTCAGCAGGTAACCGAGCACCTGCCGGATGTGGCAGCCGCCTGCGCCGTTTTCACGCCTGGCCCGCAGCCGACGTTGCAGCTGTTCGTCGTCCCGCGTTGCCGCGACGATGGTTGCCAGCGCACAACGACGCCGGCCGATGTGCGCCGCAAGCTGCAGGCTTCGCTCCGCAGTCACGAGGTCCCCGACGCCATCCACGTTGTCGTGCGGCTACCGATGACCGCTCACGGCAAGGTGGACAGAGACAGGCTGCTTCTGATGACCGCTCACGGCAAGGTGGACAGAGACGGGCAGCTATCAATGACTGCTCATGGCAAGGTGGACAGAGACGGGCAGCTTCCGATGACCGCTCACGGCAAGGTAGACAGAGACGGGCTGCTTCCAATGACCGCTCATGGCAAGGTGGACAGGGACGGGCAGCTATCGATGACCGCTCACGGCAAGGTGGACAGGGACGGGCAGCTATCGATGACCGCTCACGGCAAGGTAGACAGAGACGGGCTGCTTCCAATGACCGCTCATGGCAAGGTGGACAGGGACGGGCAGCTATCGATGACCGCTCATGGCAAGGTGGACAGAGACGGGCTGCTATCGATGACTGCTCATGACAAGGTGGACAGAGACGGGCTGCTGGCCGCCGACACGCAAGACGACGGAGAGCCGAGCGAGTCGGCAGGTATCCAGATCCGCTCGGAGGACCGCTCGCGAGACAAGAAGCTTGCCACCGACCCTTCTCGCGCGGCGCCGGTGGGGCTCGACCGCGCTGCGACGGCCGCGCTCCTGCGAGAGCTGTGGGCGAGCCACCTCGGCTTGTCGCCCGTCGTCGCGGCGACGGCAGAGTTCGGCGACACGTTCCTGCGGCACGGCGGCGACTCGCTGAGCGCGGTGCGTCTGGCGGGCGAGCTGGAGCGGCGTCTGCTCGCGTCACCGCCGCCGACGCTGTACGATCGCATCCTCAGCAGCACCTTCCCAGAGCTGTGCGACTACCTCGTGTGCGTGTCCTCGTCCGGCCGGTCCCCGCACGCGGACAAACCGCCGCCAGGCGACGTGGCTGCCGGCGACGACCCCCAGGAGCGGAGTGAGGCCGACGACCGGTGTCCGGCGAAACGTGCTAGGCTGCTAGCAGGTGACTCGTTGCCCGGTGATTTGTGCGAGAGTGTGACCGGAAAAGGGCGCTACGTGTCGTCCTGCCAGAGAACGGAAATAATTGACATGTGTGCTGTGGCGGGTGTCGGCGGCGAAAAGGCATTGCTCCGGTATGCTGGTGGCAGCGTGTTCAAGCCCAGGTGGAAATATGACACTGGGAAGTGTGTAGATGCATCCCCTCTGGTGGCTGTGGATGGGTATGGTAATTTTTGTCCGTGTGAAGATTGTCTGTAAGTTCTATACTAGATTCAGGTTGCTTTCATAAATGTACAACTGCGAAATGGAAACTAAATAAATATATTATGGTTCCGTATGATAATTTTGTCTGTTATAATAAAGAGTTTATTCATTATTAACAGTGCAGTTGAAACCAGTTCTTCATAATTTTGGTTGTGTTTTGTAGCAGTGGACACTCTCAACATGTGGTTTTTCTGGGATCTCACTCTGGCAGAATGGCTGCAATTGCATTATCATCTGGTGAAATGTTATGGGATATCCATCTACCAGACCGGATAGAATCATCGGCATGCCTCTCTGCATGTGGAAACTTTGTTATAGTCGGTAACAGGATTTTATTATTAACCCGATTGATATAATCGTTGAGTACATAAATTAGAGACCCTATCTCTAATTAATGTCTTTCACCTACATATCAAATATGTATTAATTCAGGAGACAGCTATTTTACACATGTTATTACGTGATATCGATGCATTTAAAAATTTAAACGCCTCAAAGGTAATATAATAAATGGTTAATATAAGTAACAATAAATCATATGTTGATGGTATTAACAACAGACTTTGTTTGCAGGTTGTTATGATTACTGCGTGTATGTCATCTGTGCAGACAGCGGACGTGTTGCGTGGGTATTTGAAACTAAAGGTGAGGTGAAAAGCTCACCTTGCACTGATCTTGTGACTGGGATAGTGTATGTAGGGTCTCACGATCAACACCTATATGCTTTAGATATTCAGGTATGTAAATTTATACCAATATAATTCATGATTATTTATTTATGAAAAGTTTGGGGCTTCTTTTTAAATATAGATTTGGCATTTTTGTGTAAAATATTTTTGGAAAAGTATTTTGTTGTATTTGGAGTGACATATGTAGATGACTAATTTATTCTATCACTTAATTGTAAACTGAAAAAATGTAAATATTTGTATGCCACATTTTTAATGGCAAATTGTATTTTACTAACGCAGGATTATAGCACTAATGGCTGTAAAGTGTAATGCCACTTAATGGAGCTAGTCCATGCAATGAACTGGTGTTGCATCCTGGAGAACAAATTCGTCTACAGGGAAAACTTACATAGTTAATTGGGTCACATACTCATTCATACAGACGCAGCAGTGTACATGGAGGAAGCACTTAAAAGGAGGAAGTCTCTTCTCCTCACCCTGTGCCAGCAGGAATCCGCATACTGTCTATGCGGCCACACTTGCTGGTTTGCTGACTGCTCTTCACTCGGTAAAGCTTGCCATCATTTACTGGACTGTTCACAGAAAAGCTGCCTTCTACTATACATGCAACTATATGCTTGCATTCAAATAAAAAATATTGGGGCTAATGTATTATGGGAATCCTCAAACATATTTACATAATGGATGATGTTGCTAATCAAACGCATGTTCTTGCATGATACTCTATTATTGTGCTGTCTTGTTTTGTGTTGTGTTATGCCTGTATGCTCTGTATTATTGTATTGGGTAGTATTGTGTTGATTGATTAGTGTTATCTTAAGTTGTTATGTTGTGTAAGAACTACATATTTTATAATTCAAGGACACTGGGAGGCTGATTTGGACGTACCGCTGTGGCAAGCCACTGTTCTCAAGTCCACAGCTGGTAGAAGGAGGTGTCTGCATTGGCTGTGTTGACGGCGTCATTTACTGTATCTCACAATCTGGCAATTTGGTGTGTTGCATAGTTCTAATACAATATATCCCTGTGTTGTGTGTATATGTTAGATGACATTATTAGTTTATTATTGGGCATTCATTCAATTCTTTGTCATTAGACCTCGGCTATCAATTTAAAACTTATTATTGCACAGTATGATTTACATTAATTTTATTGTAGGAAATAGTGTTATGTATATTAATTAAAATTCACCGTTTTTCAGATGTGGAATTTCAAGACAGACGGCTACGTTTTCTCATCAATCTGCACATTTCCGTTGATAACAACAAGCGAAACCGCAATTCTCCAAAAACCCAACCAGATAGTTGCATTTGGTTGCCATGACAACCACGTTTATTGCCTATCTTCCAGTAATGGAAAACTAAACTGGAAGGTGTGCCTCGATTCGGAGGTGTATTCCTCACCCTTTATTGCAAGTGCACATGTAATTGCAAATGCCAAAGAAAGTGTGTCTGTAAATGCAATAGTGTTTGTAGCGTCTACACGAGGCACTCTATACATGTTAGATGCTGAAACAGGAAACATCCTCACACACTATTTACTTCCATATAAAGTATTCTCCTCTCCAGTTGCTCTAGGCAATGCGGTTGTGGTTGGTTGCAGAGATAACTTTGTGTATTGCATGGAGCTTTCACCATAAGATACTTTGTTTGATTAGGAATCTTACTACACTAGATAAATGAGCAATTTTTGCAAAAGTTTATCATGATAGAAAAGTTGCTTAATTTTACTGAGCCTGAAGCGTCATAACGATAAATTAATGTAGAGTATTTACTGTGTAAATACCTTGTTTAAATATTTAAAGATGTAATAAGTGAGTGTAATTTATTCACATTACGCCTTTAGTACTTCTGTTGTTACCACTGCTATCAGTTTATTGAGATAAACTTAACATCTGTGATACAATTTTGTACGTGATGACTTGAGGATCGGCAAGTGTGTACAAATATGTCCAAATACACATCGAAAGCATTTTAAATACAGTACTACTCTTGATGTCTTGTAGCAAACTCTAGTTATAAGCATTACGTGCAACTCATTCAGTATCTTAGCTAGTCTTACTGCCACATATGATGACATGAGAACTCCTGCTTTCAAACATTCAGGAAAACTATAAGACGACTGTACTGTTCTGCCTGTCAACTGAGTGCTTAGAACCATCGCTGATAACCACCGATGCATCTACTCATATGCTGCTCTAATCCCTCACTGCCTAAACATATCTTCATCACAACTCGATCTCATTACATTAGCTGGACTTATTCGAGTACAGGTCTTTGTCCTCCTTGTTTGACTGACCGAGGTCGATCTCCATACTTTTTAACACCAGCGCCGGCTTGACGTCGTCGTGGGAACCAGCCGGTGTATCGTCGTCGCCGTGGGAACTCGCAGAGGAGCTCGCCAGCGGCGCTCGCCTGCGGGTCAGCCTGAGGCCGAGGTACTGCTCGGCGGAGTCGCACGCGAGGTCGGCGGAGGCGTCGTACGCGCGCCGCCACGTGTCGACGCACTCGCGGGGGTAGCAGAGCGACGCCATCGCGGCGACGCCGAGCGTCGGGTAGGCGAGCTTCTTCGGGACGCCGCCGCGGCGCACGGTGGCGACGAGGAAGCCGCCGAGGCCCGCGAGCGAGATGGCGGACGCGCGCGGCACCGCGCTCGGGTCGTTCTGCAGGTAGTCGAGCGTGCTACGCGTGTGCGAGGCTCCGATGTCGTACTTGCCTTGCACGTAGTTGATTGTGTCCTCGCAGGCGTCCCACCACTCCCACACCCACTTCCGCGCGGCCGAGATGTTCTCGTGAAGAGCATTGGGCTGCAACGACAATACGGCCATGAGAGAGATGTAATGCTTGCCCGAAGGGCGGGAAAATCATGCTGGTGCCCTAGATCTGCTGGTGTAGCCCCTTCGTCCATGTAGCGGGAGCGAAGGGGCTACACCGGTAGAGCTAGTTGGTCCCTTACAATTTCATCAGAAGGTCGCCCAGAAGGGTGGTTTGCATATAGACAAAAATTCCGTGAGCAGTGGAATCACTATACAGTTTGAGTGCTATGATTACACCAAGGCAACTTGCTCAATGATTCCTAGGATCTTGATACATATTTCAACAACTAGCATGAAAATACTTCAATTTATACTTAAAACAGTTAGGAACTGCTAGTAAAAGGCATTCAGTTCAATTCTCAAAATATTAGCATGAATCTTCCTCATAATGCATAATAAGCACCTGAATCCCATAAATTTGACACGTCCTGTGATAAGCTGGGCCTCTAAAATTTGAGTTGGGAGTCTGTCTCGCCAGTTGTGGCTTGTGTGCACCCAGATAGACCGTAACGAATACAGTTTCAATAGCAAATAATTTTAGTCGTCAGTTGGGCTCATAGGGTCTATGTTCCCCAGGGTACTGCCGGAACGTACCCTGGCAGCCTGGTAACTATCTGATATGGTTAGGGAGTAGGCGTAGGCGACTCCCTAGACTCGTTAGTGGAGTAGGCGAGGTACCGTCCGGAATATTAGATAGTACCAGGGTACGTTCCGGCAGTACCATGGGGGACATAAACCCTCTCAGCGTCAGTTGGTGTCCAGGAATGCACATTTTGATCACCCATGCAACCAAATTCGTTGCTATGCAGAGCACCAAGTGCTGACAATAACTCCTGTATGTACAGGATCACAAAAAGTAACTTATTGCTCATACCTTTTCTTCTGTGTACTCGTACTGAGCGCTGTCTGCTGGATTTCCATATATTGGTAGGTCGACTAGCTTTACGTATTTTCCTTCGGTGCCTGCTTGTACTCGTGTCATGAGAAAGGGTATGCTTGCCATGGCACTACCACCCAACACGCACTTGCGCATAATTATACTTGCTGCCATGGTGTTATGCACTAGGCAAAATGCATCTGTACTGTAAAAAAGCAATGAAAACATTGAATCCACTTAATAAAAAACAACTTTATCGAATGTTGTTAGTTTAGTTTGAACATACGGAGAAAGTTCTTTTTTTACAGAAAACTTCAAAGGGGTTACAATATAAACTCAAAGGGCAACTATTGTGCAGATAAACTTCACAACTGGCTTCTCATATCGTCCTTCATTCAATATATATTGTACAACTATAACCCAGACATTTGTAGTCTACCTTCCTAGTTTGACACATGCAGTCAGCTGTAATGCGAAGGCTGACCACAGGGTCAGCCTAGCTATTACTGTACGGTTGAGTGCACCGGGCGCATGGATATGCTATGTACCTATAAAGTAGTACCATCAGTATAAATACGGGTCTGCTGACCACAGCAAGACACTTCATCTGTGAAGAGGCACCGGTAACGGAGCCACTAGCTGATAAGAGCCTGTCGGAGCTACGTCCACTGTCCACGACAGAACTTATAATTAGCTGACACGGTGAGTCACGACACCTAGCCATACGTGTCTTGACCACGACATTGAACGGGAGATAGGCCTGCACCGCTTGTCGGAGCAACCTCTTTTACCGGACATAGTCTAGTCATTACAGTCAGTATGAGTTCTATGCACGCTCCCGAAGTGCTGTGGGATTAATTGTATATTCACCAGTCCACGTCTATATGTACATGCACCTGCACGTTGGTTGTGAAATAAATGTTTGGCTGTCGTCAGACAAGTTAAGCGTCCATGCTGTGGAGTGTTTCCTTGCTTGATCATGTCGCATATCTAACGGACCACGCAGACGTACACACCGGAGCCACAACAGACTCTCTCTCCGTAGTCAACACCAGTACGTTCCTCGGCCCCTTCCTAGAGGTTGGCGGAGCATATCCAGGAAACAAATAAATACCCTGCGCGGCTACGCGCAGGGAAATGTCTGTGTGATCACCCCTAGGGTCACTACATTATTATATCTACTTAAAATGTAGATACAGAGACTGGGGTTCTTGCTAACTACCAATTTCTGTTGAGCTCGTTTTCCTGAGCTGTCAAGAGAAATATGACAGGCCATCTGCCCCATAGGATACCCTCTCGTAACCTCCTTCCCCACGAGTGGCTACTTGGTCCAGTATTTTGGGATGGTACTGCCAAGTTAAAGGTCTAAGGGCTGGTAGATATGTGGAGATTATTAAAGGCTTGTAATCGGCTGGGTTTTGAACATGTTTAATTACAAACTGCAACACAACTAGTATAGACTATACACTACAGACACAGTATACTATTACTAGTATAGTACAGTATTTTGCACACACGTGCAAAATTGATACATTTTAATTTTATACTATTATTTTATGTGTTATTTGCCTATGTACGTCCTCCACGTTGCTTGCAACTTGTAATTATGAAGGCTCCCACAGTTAGATAACCTGTCTACACAGGGTTACGTATACATTTTAGTTCCCTATACAATTACAAGGACTAAACATTGGAATTTGAAGGAAAAGTAACCAAACCCACCAAACCCAAGCCAAGGACGAGATGTGATCACGACAAAATTGTTGATAATGATATGAAAGAAATGTAATAGACTTCCAAGTTCAGTGATCGCATCGTTCTAGTTATAACTGTACATATAAATAACTTAATAACTTGCTCAATCCTTAGCTAGTTGGCTTTGCTTAGTCCTAGAATAATATGCATTAAAGTAATTAATAAACACCATGTAATGATAGAGAAGCTTCTGGTTGCGCTACTGACAGTACACAACTACACGATAAACTAATATCTAATATCAAGATGCCGAGGAGAGAAAGCGAATTGGCTATGTACTTGTGACGCTATAGACGCCATTTTGGTTCAAAGTTTTACGAGACAGGTTTTACGCTGCGCGTCCAACTATACAAACACGTGTTTGTATATATCTATGCTGCAACTGAAGGTGTTTAATTCTGGAAGAAGCTCATATGGGTGTATTTATGAATTTATGAATTATCATATAATACTATACTGCAGAGATATCTAAGTAGCATTTATGTTCAGTTCATTCATGTGCGGGTACGGTATGAAATCGAACAAATCGATTTTTTTTAACAGTCTAACGTGAAACAATATATGCGCTTAATTACTGCAGGTGTGTTTATCCTTGTAGAGTACGACTGTCACCGCATGAAGGCTTCCCAAGATATAATGCGTACACTGAGACACCCGTCACGTTACGCTGCAGGGTGGTAGTAGTACAATTATGCATTTACTATAAGGCTCGATCCCGGGTCTTGCTGATTTGTGGTTTGTTTTTGCTTGTTTTCGTACAATTTCCCTGTTTACTGTAATTTGTTTTTCTGTTACTGCAGAGCACGATTCTAGACACACATTTCCTGACTTAGCGCAGGTTCGAACTGCGGTGAATTTTTAAACAGACTAAACATAAAACAACATATGCGCTTATTATTTGCAGTTTTTACGTCCTTGTAGAGTACGACTGCATGTGTCACCACACAAGGATTCCCAATACCAACGCCAGACGGAGAAGGCGAAGACTATAGGACGACGACAAATTTTGTAAAAGAGAAATAAAACATTCGATGTTTTATGGCTTCTGGTCATTTATAACGTCTGTTTAGTAATATCACATCACACACGACGCGAAAACATGTTCCTAGCTACACCATCGCAGCTACACATCACCGCAGTTACCATAGCGACAATCGGAGGGAAGTAAGGATCCATTATATTAGACAGTGGAGGAAGAATGAAAAATTCGGCAGGACGGAAGATGACTCAGCGAATATAGAGGGTTCCGCGACTTAGACTAAAAATAGCAATATTACCTACAATCCAGAAATCTATGCTGAGATACCCCTAACCATTTTAAATGCATATTCCTCACAAAATATAACTCCGCTGGTGAGATATCGCCCATGCTCTAACACACTAACGTAGCCAGATTGTGTACTGGCTGGTATACGCAGCGGGGATCTTACATGCAAGGTCTTCCTACTATTTTGTAAATAATGTTTACTGATGGAATGTTATCATATAAATCTATGCTAGGATCACTTCTCTTTATTTTAAATGCATTATCTTTGCAAAATATGATTTCTCTCGGGAGATATTGCGCATGCGCGCGCACCGTGTTAGGCTTTCAGTGCCGTCTGGGGCAAACTTCATAATATAGCTTGCTGAGGGGGGAGGGGATGGGAGACTGATGAAAGGTGGCAGGGAAGATAGCTGGGGACGGTAGAAGAAGAAGGAGGCTGAGCGAGTGACAGCGGAGACAAGGGAAAGGACGCGAGGGCATAAAGTAATTGTTTTGTACCCTTCATGCTAGGGCGCTCTCCTAATTATAAACACAGGTCTACTGATAAAAGTTTATCAGGGAAATCTATGCTGAGATATACCCTAACCATTTTAAATGCATATTCATCTCAAAATATAACTTCTCTGGTGAGATATTGCGCATGCGCTAACACACTAACGTAGCCAGATTGTGTACGGGTTGGTATGCGCAGCGGGGACTTTACATGCAAGGTCTTCCTCATATTGCTTAAATGATGTCTACTGGTGGAATGTTATTATATAAATCTATGCTAGGATAACTCCTCTTCATTTTAAATGCATAATCTTTGCAAAATACGATTTCTCTCGGGAAATATTGCGCATGCGCGCGCACCGTGTTAGGCGTTTAGTGCTTTCTGAGACAAACTTCGTAATATAGCTTGCTGAGAGAGGAGAGGATGGGAGACTGAGGAAAATGTGGCAGGGAAGATAGCTGGGGGCGG